AGCACCGTGCAGATGACCCTGTCCGGGCGTGCCTGCATCCGCTTCACGAGCCCATCTGCCTCGTCGACCTCCCCGGCCCTTCCCAGCATCTCCACCATACACGTCCTCATCCTTCCTTGTGAACACTTGCATCCCTTCGCCCACCATCTTGGCCCTCACGCAAGCGGCGAGGACCATGGAACAGGCCGAGCACTTTCCGGCACCGCCCGTCTGCGGACATGGCCGCGAGCAGCACCGTGCAGGTGGAGGATCACGGCGTAGTGCCGCCGGCTGTCGCCACGTCCCGGGTGTGGGCCCAAAGTCAATTTCAGCCAATACAGTCAACCTTTCGGTACTTCTTTTTTAAGAAAACTTCCAATCTATTCATTTTGAATCATGAAAGTACAATGAATCTCTGCATATGCATAATTGTTTCCGTGGTCATATCCTGGCACATCACCGTAGATAATGTGTTTGTTCTTTCACTGATTAGATACTCCCTCCATTCCACAATGTAGTGCTTCATCTATCTCCGTGCTTCAACTTTAACCGTAAATTTTACTATCAAGATCGATTGCGGCGGGAGCAAAAATTATATCAGTGAATTCGTATTCGAAAGAAGTTTTTAATTATATAATTTTTTCTCCCACCGCAGTTGGTCTCGTTGGTTAAATTTATGGTTAAAGTTGCACCTCGGGAAGCGCAGGCGCACTATATTTTGGAACGGAGGGAGTATCATAAAGTCAAAGAGGCATATTCATATTTTGGTGTCTTTTGGATTATTCGTCACACATATGAGAGTTGGAGCCGTGGGGAGGCTCATGTAGGTTGAGCAGTGAGCCAGGTAATATTTTTTATCTCTTTGAAGAAACTTGCCTCAACCTATTATATTATTTGCATCCCTTTGGCAGGTAGCAGTTTCATTTCTTAGGTCGCCATGGTTGCCCTCCACCGTACAGAAAAATGCCTGCAAGCAAGGCAACTAAAATGATAGATTTGGCCAGTTCTAAACAGGAATGCATCATAGTAATTCTAATGTTCTACTCCTGTTATTATGTACCATGTTCAACTTACATTATATTGTTCTCTAGAAGATAATAAAGTGTATATCATATGATTACTCACGTACATGGTATTTCTTGCACTGGCATAGTTGTGTCACAAATATCAAATGTAAATTTATTATTGCAGATGATTTTTTGTCTGTCATAGCAGATAAATATAGAATAGACATACGATTGTAATGTTTTCCCAAAAGGTTTGTTGGTTCCTATGATATATATTGCTTTTGCGTAATGATTTTCCATTTCTACAGTAGCATATTACCACAAGTAATACACTGATGCCATATAAATGGATGCATTGTTTTGTCATTATTTTCTCATGAGCTTCAGTTGACAACTATACGTAATATTTCATTGCGGAGTTGCTTGGCTCTCCTGGGGACCAAGACTTAATTTTTCATGAACCAAGAAGAAAATACTTCTGGACATATCTTTCTATGCTTGTATTTTCCCTAATGTCAGTTGTAAGTTTGGATACTTCGTATGAATTAGAACTCTTGGTCTATCATATAATTGCTTTGTTCGTTTTGGCTAACCACGCAATGGAAAGAGGGATAACAAACAAAAACAATGTGGCACTAATATGCTACTCCCTCCGTCCCAAAATAAGTGACTCAACTTTACACTAATTTTGTACTAAAATTAGTACAAAGTTGAGTCACTTATTTTGCGCCAAAGGGAGTACTTAGTACCATCTGCTTCAATAGAGATTCATTTAGTATTACCTTTTAATGATTTTTTTACCGTTTGATAAATATTTTGAGGTGTTACATATATTTTAGCGGTTGCAACCTTCAGAAGAAAAAAACAAGCCAACGATGTTTGTTTTAATGTGTAGCTTAGCTGATCAGAAGGAAATAAGCATCTTCGACCTCTTTATACAATCGCCTCTGCCTACGGTCACCTTTTGTTTTCATGCACTACATGGTATTATTACCATTCCACACTAGCATAACATCAGTAGTTTTACTATTTCGGAACCATTTGTTTATTGTTTACAACTAAACTCTTTATTAGATTATTTTTCCGCTGCAAAGCATTGGAAATTATCTAGTTTAATAAAGCAACGGGTCCGTAGGCACCCATCCTCTCTTAAAAAATAAGTAGTTTTTTATTCGGTTGCAATTTTGCTCGAAACAGAGAAATCATTGTATCATGGAAAACACGTCACCGGAACATTGCTAGTATAAACTTTGAGCTCCTTATTGCTATCAGCGTTGGTTTACTTAGTCTTGATTCACCTTGGAAGTATGAAATGATTGGCTTATCAACTTCCAGCTCCTTATTGCTATCAGCGTTGGAATCACAACCCATGGAGAGTTTGCACCAACAAAATATGCCCAGAAGTAGAATGGACTGACGCAGAAGTTCATGCCGTCTAAGTAGACAGTAATGTAGTAAACCAACATTGCGCAGATGTGGCCCATACATACACTAAACTGTAGAATGTAGCTGTAGGACTTTCTGGAAGCAATAGCATAGCTGCAAGAAGAAAATTTGTGGTAAGATAAAATAAATAAAATATGCAATTAATGGTATCTATCTACTCTACGAAAAATGCTTTTTGAGGCCAAGCTCCATGGAGGCCTCCATTTACAATTTTCAAAATTCATATTTCTATGTTTCAGAAAATTCTGAAAAATTTACAGATATACATGGAGGCATAATGTGCATGTGTGTACATTTTTAGAATGAAATACGGTGAAATGAGGGTTGTGCAAAAAAATATGGGGTTTTTTAGCACATGATACTATTCGTCTTCCAGGTATTTCCTCCTGAATTTTTACACACATATACATTTCATCCTTGCATCCTTGCATATTTTTTCAGATTTTTTTGAAATTGGAAAGTTTTAATTTTGAATATTTGTAGAGCTCGGTCACCAAAACGCCCCACTATCTAATCTAGTACTCCCTCCATCCAATAATATAAGAGCGTTTCTAGTGTCAAAAATGCTCTTATACTATGGGGCTGGGGAGTACTAAAAATCCATAAAGCACAATGGAAGAAAATATAGATATGTGCTAAAAAAATATAAAAACTAGAGAATACCCCGCATGTTGCTGCATGAATCGATTGGAACATATTTCAGTTATTTAATTATATGAACAAATGCATAGTTGTATTAATAATATACGAATTAAAACTAAAAATGAATAATATGTTTAGTCAGAAAATATTTTGAATGTAAGTTGCATAATATAATGGAAAATGCTTCCCCATGCATCTTGACTTGTTGAGTGGAGTTTTGATGAGGTGTCATGTGTGGTGAGGTGGGATGTGTTCATGGGATCAAATAATAATGAAAAAAAAATCCCATACTTCCTCTATCCGCGAATAAGTGTACGTTTGTCATTCAAAATTTGTTCACAAAAAAGTGTACTTCTATCTTCCCAATGCACTTTAAAGTGGAAAAAAAATGGTCTTCTCTCATCACACGGTAATCAAGACCAATAACATTTAATACATGGTCTTCTCATTTTTCAACATGCACTTAAGCTTATTGGGGATGTTATAATTAAAGGGGAGAGTGATGGTGGCTTGCACCTTCCCAATGCATTTTTTACTCCACTCATAATCTGTTCTAAAATTTCTATGAGATGACATGTGTGCATGTTAAGATGATATAGGTAGTGGAGATGAACTATTTATTTATGCACGATATAGGATATCTATAAAGCATGTAGTAGTTTTTGATATAGTGAACCGTTGATTTATTAGTAGATTACAACTGCTAGATCTACAAACAATATTTAAACATATCATGTACCTGATAGAACATTGCATCTTAAAAAACCCACAAACTGATAGACCACCATTGTTGCATGTAGACATATCTCACATGATTTGTTTTTGTATGCACATGTTGGTTACTGGTTGATCTATAAATGGCGAGCACATATTACGCCTAATTTAAATATATTGGTCTTCAATGCATTTACCAATGCTATAATCTAATGCAATGCATCGATAGACGATTGGAAGCGGATAAGAAAACTATAGCGAAGGGAAATACTCCTCTAACCATATTAGGTTAAGGCACTTAGTACTATTGGTGAAGTACACCATTGTTAGGGGCAATAACTAAAAGAAAATGGTAGATGGGTAATTAGGCGTCAATATGGGCATCGATGCAGGAGTACGTAAATGAGTGTTGGCTATGCAAACCGAATGCTTGAGAGTGTGCTGGCCATTAATTTGGTACTTTTTGTTTTGTTTTATGTTAAATATGGACTCAACTGTATATGCAACCAAGAACCACGACAGAAGTATGTCTTGGAATTTTAGGCCTCCTTTGGTTTACAGGAATTTTGTGGTAATTTCAAAAAGATAGGAATCTTGTAAGAAAAACTCCGTTGAAGCCCTTTGATTTGCAGGAATAAAATATTATTTTTGTTCATGATAGAACCAATCATTTGTATTTCAAAGGAAGATAAACATTAGTCTAGACTCAATGGGGAAAAAAATCATATATGACAAACCAAATAACACCTCTTTCCCTATAGGATTTGAGATGCATGTCATCTCACTTTCTATGATTTTTCTACTCTCATGATATCCTATACTATGAATCAAAGGCCTAGAAACAAAACTGGCTTCATTATGGAGTTATGGTAGTCTGACAAATTCATCGAGCTAGCTAGAAACTAACAGATCAAGCGAAATTTAATCTTTGTTGTTTTGCCAGGAATAGACAGTGTAATGAAGAGAAAATGAGTAGTAGCAAAATGTAACAAGCAGACGTACATAGCAAGAAGTGATGCAGGGCCTCGTAAAAAAACCGCAATGACTTCGATCGCGACGATTGTGGTGTCCCTGGCGGCATATCTGGAGTCAGCTTTGCTGTACTCTTTCCCTGAAGATGTAGCATTGATGCAGTTAATTACTCAAAAAAATTAAGATCATCATTTTTGAGATGATGGACACAGTGGGAGGATATAATGAGCCAGAACTTACATATTTCATCGAAAAAACTGGGGCTTTCCTTGGTAAGGTAATTGGGGGTGAAGAGCAAGGATGCTTCGATGATTAGGTTGGTCAACCCAGTGATTGCCCACCAGCACATGATCAAACGGTCGGCCTTGGATAATCTGGCGGATCTTCCTGGAAGAGACGAAGATCAAGACACCATGGGGAGTGTTAATTTGCATGGAACAATCTCTCCATTTCTTTGTTACTTCGCATATTAGGTTTGTCTCCAGTTTAATATAGAGAAAAGTACCAACAGTCACCTTATCGTATTAATATAATTAGATTTATCATGAAATATGTTTTCATATTGTATTTACTTGGTCTTGTAAATATTAATAAATATAAATTTTACAAAATTTGACTCAAGCAAGACAAACCTAATAGTACATAGGTACGTACTTGTGTATGTATGTATGTATGTATGTATGTATGTATGTATGTATGTATGTATACATGATGGAAGGGTAAATTTGGTGTTTGCAGTAGTTACCGGTATTAAGGACACGGCCTGAGACAAGCCAGATCACCGCGATGACCAAGAGGGAAGTGCCTATGAGGGGCACCACGAGTTGGAGGGGTGAAAGCTGCTGCGGCACGAAACCGGGGAGCTCCAGGTCACTTGGCGAGTAAGGGTGGCCGCCTATCGCCGCCATGGATGGATGGGCCAAGAGAGAGCGAGCGAGTCCTGTGATGGAGAAATTATGCTTGAGCGCTACTGAACCTCTTGTTCTGCAGGCGCGACAAGTTAAATGCACAACCTCCAGATGATGATGATCATGATGTGTCCCCTAGAAACAAATATACTAACGTGATGATGGATATAGGTGCCCAACCACATCCACATGTACATACAAAGTCAAATATGGAGTGGCAGCTGATACACATGGCGACTAATCTATGCAAATACCAGCCTCTCTATGATGAGAATCCCTTTCGTGGACTTGTGGTGTGTCGGTCCACATGCCGCCATGCTCTGGGATGTGATGCGGGAAGATTGTGCCGCTGCCGTTGAAGATGGAGATTTGTCATATATGCGGGCAATGGTCATTTGGTGAGGCTGAGGTAGTTCAAGGCATGATCGTTTGGCTGGTTTAGCGTAGTACTATTTGGAGTCTGCAATGTGAATTAGCTCATGGCAAGCCATTCCCTCCTGTTAAGGTCTCTAACATTTTTTGAGCGCATGGCCGCAGCCTCGCACGGTGGCCGCCGGCTGTCGCCTCCCTGCTCACCGACTCCCAAGTGAACCAACAGTCTGCGCAGGAAAGGGTGGGGGTGGGGGAGGCTCCGGCGGCCGGCCGGCGTTGACGTCCCCGTCCCGAATGTGGGCCTATAGAAAACGCGGCCCAGACCCAGGTACATAGCGCGGGCCCAAGTGTTTTATGTACAAGCACGGTCCCCTTTTTCAGAAAATGATCATGTTTTACCAAATAATGATCTAAGAAAATATTCAGATTTAGAACATGTTACTTTCAAAAATAAATAAATTTTGATGTGTCTCTTAAAAACGGATGAAAAAAAACTAAATAAAAACCAAAGAAATGATAGAAACGAGAGTGAAAATAAAGATCGTTCCCTGTTGTCCAAGTCGCTATCAGGCGTCGATGGGATGGCTCAGTCTCGAGAAAGGAGGTCCTCTACGGCACGTGATATTAGCACTCATGTGCTCTGCTGGGCCGCCCTATTAGTACGCTCGCTCGCTCGATCTGACCGTGCACTCGCTGCTCCTGCAGGCTACTGGTTCAAAAAAGCAAGTAATTGTTCGTTTACAGAAAAACAGACTCCTCGGTTTTCTATGAATTAAAAAAATATTACTTTTCAAATAAGTTTGTAGATTTAAGAAAATTTCATAAACTTGAAATGTGTTCATAATTTCAAAAAATCATGACTTAGAAAAACATCCCCGAATTTAAAAAAAGTTCGCTAATTATGAACATTTTATGGACATGAATATTTGTTTGTGGATTTGAAACTTAATAAATAATTTGAAAAAAAACCAAGATTTTTTCACAAATTAAAGAAGGGTGAACGAATTTAACAAATATTAATGGGTTTGCAAAAACATTTCGGATCTAGAAACAACTAATAAGTTTAGAGAAACTAAACGAACTTCATTTAAAAAAATCATGATTTTTCCATTTTCTAAAAATGTCATTTTTCCCTGTGTGGTCTTCTCTCTCGTCGACTAGGCCAGAATTTTTCTATGATTTGTCACCTTTTAATTTTTGTTTTTTTTACTTTTCTCTCAGGCCCATTTTTTATTTTTCCTGGAAAATAATGTTCCTATATTTTTTACAAAATGTTCAGTAGGCCTGTACTTTAATAAGGTTCATTCTGAATTTTGACAAACATCATTTACAAAATGTTGAACAGTAAGAATAGCTAGTAGTTCTTCGTTTAGAGAAAAATAGACTCCTCATTTTTTATGAATTAAAATATTATTACTTTTCAAAGAAGTTCGTAGATTTAAGAAAAGTTCATAAACTTGAAACATGTTCATAAATCAAAAGAATGTTCATTACCTAGAAAACGTTCCGAAATTTTAAAAAAATCACTAAAATAAAATTTTATGGATATGAAATTTTGTTTGTGGATTCGAAACTTGTACAATAATTTGAATAAAAAACAACTAGATTTTTTTCACAAATTAAAGAAGAAGATTATGAATTTTAAAAAATTAATGTGTTTGAAAAATTGTTCGCGGATTTAGAAAGAATTCATAACTATAGAGAAACTTAACGACATTGAAAATGTGACAAAAAGTTCATGAAAAATGGAAACGGAAAAAATACCTATGAGAAACAAAAATAATAAAAGTAATAAATGATAAAAAATAGAAAACCCTGAAAACAAAAAAATGAATTGAAGAACTTACGGAAATTGGGCCCAGAAATCTGGAAAATATTCTAGAAGGTTCCAAAATTGTTGAGAAAAAAACCCTACATGGACCGGCCCACATAGGAACTATGGTGGGTTGTGACGGAAATCCATTGGTGCTCCCGAGAGTACCAAGGGATTTCTGTAATGTTCCTATAGTTTTTAGAAATGTTTGGCGTGTATTTTAAAGAGTTCATCTCATATTTTGTAGAAAAATGTTTTGCATGCATGTAAAAAATGTTCACCATGCGTTAAGAAAACACTAGGCATGTACACCCTCCATTCCTAAATATAAGTATTTTTAGAGATTTCTATATGAACTACATACGATGTATATAGACGTATTTTTGAGTGTAGATTCACTCATTTTGCTTTGTATGTAGGGTCGATATTAGAATCTCTAAAAAAACTTATATTTAGAAACAGATGGAGTACTTTAATAAGGTTTATTGTGTATTTTTTTTTAAAGCATAATTTTAAAAAAGTTGAACATTTTTGTTAAATAAAGGTTAATTTCTTTTTAAATTAGTTTCTTTTATTTTGCTATCCTCATTTATTTGATTTCATTTTTCCTTTCCTTTTTTTCTTTTCTTTCAGTTCTTTTTCATCGTAGAACTTAAAAAATGTTTGTAATGTTTTAAAACTGTCATCGTATTAATAAAGATGTTAATCATATGTTTTTAAAAATGTTCAGCCGTTTCTAAAATATGTCCATCATTTATTAAAAAATATTATTCATGTTTAAAAAAGGTTCATCATGAATTTTCAGAAATTTAATGTTTCTAAATAATTTTCATCATTCATTTCCAACATTGTATTCATGTATTTAAAAAATGGCCATCACGTATACGAAAAGTTGTTCACATTATCATCGCGTAACTAGACAATGTCATGATGTATTAAAAAAATATTCATAGTGTATTTCCAAAATGTCTTCACGTATTTAAAAAATGTCATAATGTATTTAAAATAACATTCACAGTATATTTCGAAGAAATGTTTGTTGCATAACTTTGTTGCTTGAAACCAAACCGAGCGCCTCCTCGAAAGGTAAAACTGAGCGGTCTCAACTCATTCTAACCTTTTTGCCGGAGGCCATGCTGCTCCATGAAGGACGGATTGATTGGGATGGCCATGGTGGTCTATGAGCAAGAAAGCCTAGGAGGAAGGCGCGGCTTAGTGGAATCATAGGGAGGAAGCTGCATTATCACTTTCACTACAGTTGATATTGGACCTAATCGGCAATTAATAGTGTTGTATTCGAATATGTGGTAACTAATTACAGGTTGTCTCAAAAAAACTAATTACAGGCCAATGTAAACCAAACAGGTGGTGTTACGTGGTAAGTGGTAAACTGATAACTAATCAAATTACATGATGAAATCAACTAACCAAACACCTCTTTAGTAGGATCCAGAACAACGATATGGAAAACAAAGCTAGGCGTCCATATATAGCGCAGCTTCGACACTTCGGGCTGCAGAATGTGACGAGGGTCTACAAAGCCTCAATGTTTTGCTCTCAACCAACATTTTTGTGTCTCATGTTTAGGAACGGGTCTACAAAGCCTAGTGTATTGTTATTGCAAAAAAAGTGTAACTGCGGGAGGGGAAGGGGTGAGGACGGAGAGGGGAGGGGGCAAGGGCCCCCCTCCCGCTACCCGTGCATGAAGCTTATTAAATCAAGCTTGATTAATAACCACATCACATTGTAACTTTTGATCACATTGATGAACTTCCTGACTCTGCTCGTGATTCCTTATGGTCAGTCTTCATTCTCACTACTAGGGAAAACCCTAGTAGTAGCGCGGGTAATTTCCTAGCAGTAGCGCGGGGGCCTCCGCTACTGCTAGGGCGCTACAGCTAACTTTTAGCAGTAGCGCGGGCGGTACCCGCGCTACTGCTACTTCTAGTAGTAGTAGTAGCGCGGTTGACACCCGCGCTACTACTACTTAGTTGTAGCGCGGGTCAGGGCCCCGCGCTACTACTAACTAATTAAGAATTTAAAAAAATTCCATCCATGGCAGCTGCTTCTGCTGGGCGTCATCGTCCTCTCCATCCATGGCTGCTACTGGTCCTGGAGGGGATGAAGTCGTCCATGGTGATACACCTCTCCTTTGTTGCTGCTACAAAAAAAGAGACAAGGATTAGAAGAGGAAGAGAGAGATAGAGAGGAGTAGGTGCAGCAACTCACCGGTGGCCGCCGGAGTTGGAGCCAAAACCCTAGATGACGCCATGGATGGCGCTCTGCCTGATCTGGAATATGAAGAGAGAGAGAGAGAGAGAGAGAGAGAGAGAGATTGAGAGGGGTAGGAAGAACAACTCGCCTGTGGTTGTGTCCATGGCGGATCTGGCCGCCGCCATGGATGGCGCTCTGCCTGATCTCCCTCTCCTTCCAACATTAGAGAAGGAGGAGGAAGGAGGGGGAGGGGGCTGCGGTGGGTGTGGAGGTCGCCGGATTTGGGGGAGGCATGAGGTGCGAGGCCGGGGTGGTGGTGGATGAGGAAGGGAATCGTGGGTGGGAGGGAGAAGCGGAATGGGAGAGCCTATGGAGAGAGGGCAGAGAGTGGGAGAGAGAGAGAGAGAGGGATTCGACCGAGGATATGTTCACCTACCTTGTACTTAGTAGTAGCTGATACATCTCCAGCGTATCTATAATTTTTGATTGCTCCATGCTATATTATCTACTGTTTTGGGCAATATTGGGCTTTATTTTCCACTTTTATATTACTTTTGGGACTAACCTATTAACCGGAGGCCCAGCCCAGATTTGCTGTTTT